TCACCTTGCGACCTTTCGTCGTTCCTTATGAGAACGCAGGTCTACCGAGTTCCACACTCGGTAGACCTGCGTTCTCATAAGGAAAGTCTTTGTTCTGTGCGAGCCTATTCCAGTACTGAACGAATAGTTTTACGAGCGGCTCATCCTATTTCGTTTTTGGTCTATCCAGAGGCGTTTTTGTATATCTTAGGATTAGTTCCCATTGCGTGAGCCGATAAGTCCATCGATTTTTAGGCATCCCTGCAACATGACCCGCCCAGCGTCCTTTGCTGGTGTACATCTCGATTACCACGTCTTTTATTCCGGTTATGCAACGCAAATCTTCGTTCATTATTCTGTCCTTCAGGGAAACATTACACATTCGCCTTTCCATTGCTCTTTCTGTGATGACGAACTTTTCTTCTGCAATGTCGGTGGTGGCCCAAGTCTCGCAAGCATGGAGCATAACTGGAAGGTTGTGTTAAAGACGCGCGCTCTGACCTTCATTGGTAGGGTTTGATCTGTCAAAAAAAAAACAACCCAGCTAGCTCTCCTTCTTCTCCGTCAAGACAGTTATTAGAGTCCATTTGGCGACCGAGATACATATAATAACATACTTGTTCTTTTTCCACATCGTGGAAATAGAACAAGTGCATAATTCACATCGCAGTCCGCAAGAAGCAAGTGTGATAATCTTTCTCCATCGATGTTAATTCTCCCTCTGAATATCATCTTTCTGAAGAGCTATCTCAGGGTTGCTGCGAATAGTTTTAGTGATATTGTATCGCTTTGGCGTACACTTATTATGTGGCACTTTTCGGAGAATATCCTGATTTCAGTAGAGCGACCTATGTTCATGAGTTTTATGAGTTCGATGTAGTTCAGGTTGACACGTTCCTCATGTAGAGCGTTGGTTATAGCTGTAGTTTCCTCAGAATCAAATGCTTTCACAAATGCGCAGCACAGGAGAATTTGGTATTCTATACACTTCTCCAGTAGTTGGCTGAGTAGGTCGATGTGGTCATTAATGGAGTAGCTGGGTCTGAAGCCGGCTTGTTCTCTGTGCATTTCAATTTGATCCGCACTCCGATTGTTAACTGTTCTAATAAATAGTTTATAAACTTGCAATAGCAGTGTGATGGGACAGTAATTCGCCAACTCCTCAGCATCACCTTTCTTCCACAGAAGTACGGTTTCGGATGTACTTGAGAGGGTGTCAGTTTTCAGATACATCGTAAATCACCCGGAGACTGCCTTATTGAGAGCATTTCCTCCCACCTTCAAATAATCACTACCTGTGCTTGTGACTGTTTTTATCTTACTTAATGCATTTTTGACTTCGTACTGCATCAAGGCCGGTATTTCATCTCTTGTGGCTCGTGATTGTACCTTGTATTCATTGTGAAATTTTTTCACAAATTTCTTCCGTTTCTGACCTTACCACTATCCCAGCGGAGCAGTCCTTCAACGCGGTTTCCCTTTCCGCTTTTTTCAAACGTTTGTGTTCTTCTGTTAATTGCCCTAGTTTCTCCTTGCGATATACCTCACAATCACCTTGCAAAGACCTTCGTGTTTTTTTACTAAGCAACTTTTATTCATCTCCTTCCGCTCTTTCTTCCACAAGTCGTGAAACAGTCATCAATTTTTTGGTGCGATTGTGTAATCTCGTCGATCTTCTTGACGAAGCCGTATCGCATTCGTCCTTGGCTGCTTCACTGATTTTTCCAATGACATCTGCGTAATCGTGGTCCACGTCGTTGCTGTCATGGACCAATCCTGAGCTTCTAGTTTCCTGGCTAATGATGCCATGTTAACAATTTCTCCTTGCTGAGTTCTCTTCTTCAACACGGCTTTCTCATGAGAGAAGTTTACCTTGATTATTATACGTGCAAGGCGGTGGCCGGAGTCAATGCTTTTCTCTTCAATGAATGTAACGTCCGATATGATACGTTTTGAGCTTGACAGTATATAATCTATGTGGTTTCTTATATAGCCGTCCACGGCCATTTCTGGTTCCAATTCCGTACTCGCCGATATAACTTTCCTTCTCGCGGACTCTGCATTGAAGTCTCCCTGCACGATTTGTTGATCTTGTACTCACAACCCTTTTTATTTCTTAGAAAAATTCTTCGAGTTCTTCCTCGGCCTCTTCTGTGGGCTGCACATTATTCGTAATAGGGGCATATACTTGTACTATTTTTAACGTTCAATTTTTATTCATACGTAAGACTAGCCGTGCAGTTCTTGGTAAAAGGATGCTGCAGCTTTTGATAAGGTGTATTGCTTGCTTTTCCACAATGAATGCAGCTCTACTCACCATGCATTCGTTACAGAATGCTTTGCTCAGAAAGACCTAATCTACTGTGTGCCATCCCTGTACAAGCTGTTCGTTACGCTTTGTTTCGGAGATTGTCTGCCTTTATCTTTGTTGTCGCTTCAACATACGCTTGGATTTGATAATCGCACGACATCGTTTTAGTGTTGTGAGTAGCCACGAAGAGACATTTAACCTTTCGTTGGGCTGAATTCATTGTCCATCCTGTCCGTTGCCCAAATTCTGTAAATCATGTCCAGTTCTTTTCCTTTTCGGTTTTTCAGCAAAACAGGTTTTACAGTAGTTGCGTTTGGATTGCTAGCCCTCATATCGCTACAATCGCAGTTCATCGTTCCGCTTTAGCCGAGTTTGCCGTTGGGGATCAGATACGTAATTATCATCTCGGTGCCCATGGAAAGCCTGCTGAGCCTGGGGAACCTGCTGAAACATAAAGCTGCCGCTGGCACAGCCTTTCCGGCCAGTTGGCATCTTTGCACTACGATGAAGTACTTGCGTTCGGGTTGCTAGCGGAATCGAGCTTTATGTATTTATCTATTTATTTCTTCCTTCATTTACTAAATAAATTCTTCGTTCACTTCCATATTCAATTGTATTTGTCTATGTGAACTCAGTTCGAGCGAGGGATGGATGTGATCGTTGAATTTTACGGTCAGGTGAGAGCGCTCATGATGAAAACCGGCTAGAATGACGTCTAATTGAAGTGCAAATTGTTTCGGAACTGATAGCGAAATGGTGGTGGTAGTGATCATTGGTACAACGACTAATAAAAGCAGGTGGGTGTTGAATAAATTCCAGTCATGTTCGAATGGTCAATATGCACATTTAATGCATGAAAGCGTGTAGTTATATTGCTATGATATAAGCGAATAATGTGCTGATAAGTTCGATGTTGAATGATAAGTTAATGTTTATGTTATCTACGTTATTGATTATGATATTATGTTATCTATATATTACCTTGCGATCTGTTCATATATTCTTAACTATATTATTGCATTAGTCATAATTTTCAAGTAATCAAGTCACATCATTCATGCATCTTCTTAATTTCATTGTTTTGGGTTTAGATAGATGTTTTACGTTTTTGAAAGTCTCTCTCATTCTCTCATTCAGATACATTTCAAAATGATTGCTACCTCTATTTCCGTTGTTTACTTATACGTCTTTTACATCATCATTATTACTATTAGCAGAGGACTGATTTTGCTCTTCTTGTTTTTGTTGACATTGGTAGTATGATGAGTGCTGATAAGAAATGAAACGTTGACTTTGGAGAGAAGGAGTGATAAGTTATGGGTATAAATAAGGTATGACACTATCAGAGCTTGCTATTGCATTAAGCTGTCCTCCATCCCATTCTCGTTACCGTATTCTTATCATTTGATTGACTGCTAACTTTATCACTCCATCTGTGTTATTATCATACTTATGCGTTACTCCACTTCAATACTGCGCCGAACGATATTCATTGCTTTTGGTTAGTTTGAATCCATATGGAACTCGAATATCTTTTATGCGAATTGAAACAACATCATTGATTAGTCTCTAATCAGCAGATGAAGTTGTTCTTTCCTTTCATGAAAACTGTTAGATTTATTTTGGCTGATAATTTGATAGATGCATGGCTGGATTGTGGAATATTGAATAAAACAAGGAATAACCCGAGAATAACTAAATGACTATTGAATAGTTGTTTTCTTGTAGCTGAATCACTAGTGTGCGATAGATAATTGATATTTTGAAATTTCATATAGCAATTAGCGATTTGAATCTGGTGAGTGTATTATATGCAGTTGATGAAATTGAAGGTGTTTGTTTCATTATCAATTCACTCGATTGATTAAGAATTGAGGTTTTGTTGAATAATCAATTTATTTGAAAGGTGCATTCAAAATGAAAGATTTCACTTGACTCAGTTTGATATTATGATTATTTTTTTAAAGGTCTGTTGGTGGTTGTTTCGGTCGTATTTGGTAAGGATGTAGCCGATGGTGGGGAAAAGCAATCGAAATTGGTGCAACGTGAACAGCGGCAAGAGGAAGGTTTGGATAAGGAAGCGGGAGTTCAAAAGCACGACGACAAACTGCAGGGGAAATCTCATGATCATAGATCGTCTTCATCCGAAACGCCCGCTCAGGATGCTGGAAGGACAGCGAACAAAGCAGATGAGAAAAAAGTAGAGAAACTGGTCACTGGTAGTAGAGCACAAGCAAGATCTCGAGGTGGATCAACAAGGTGTGTAATTATTTATTTATTTGAGATGTCTGAATCATATTTTTAAGTTTATTTAAATTTTTCTGTTTGCCATTCGATGAACTACAGTTTTTTCGATGAGTTTGGTGAGGGATGGAACCAACGGATTAGTGCTCGCTTTATTTTTGGATTTGTTTATATCCGAAGATTATTGAATGTTAACATGAATAGTAAACCACCCATGCAGTAGGTAGTTGCTTGTTTTTCGAAATTCAGGATTTTTGGTTTATGTAAGTATTTAATGAAACGTTCAAGAATAGTAAAACGTATACATGAATATCCAGTGAGTAGTGATTGATGAATGTTGTTGCATATTGTAGAGAAGTGAAAAGAATGTTGAAAAAAAATTGATTCACCGGTGCGTTCTCGAAGAACTGTTTCGGTGTTTGAGTCGAAATAATAATGTATGTGAAATTACAGTATGTTATTATACGAATATGAATTCGTATCTGAAACGGAAATAAACAGTAACAGTGATGCTGATAAGAGTTATTCGAAAAGGGAAAGCCAAATTGTGACGAAACTCAATGCCACATACGCATTCGATCTTACTCATTATGATAAACTTGGAGGTATCCTCGGTCGATATCACGTGAGTTTAGTTGTTATCATTACCGTTGTACCTGCCCTTAGCAATGGATGTAAGAATGTTGTTTATCCGTTGTAAGAAATTGTTTCATGAAAATTGTAATCAACAGCTACGAAACCGACAGAAATATTTGTAAACGGTCAGCTCAGAAATGGAAATGAACACGTTAATTTGGAATGATTTTAGTCACAGTCAAGAGTGAATTATGTTCTCGTTGTTGTTGTTCAGATGATCAAATGTAATTCTGGTCCATGTGACTACGATATGCCAGATTTGTACGTGGACTTCGTTCAAGGCGGCAATAACATCAATAATATATTCACAAATACATCCAGTAAGACGAAGTGGAATATTTTGTTGTCGGCGGCAAACATTGTTCATACACCAGCGATCAGTGGAGGTGGTGATCATCAGACTGTGGTTCGTTGCTTTAAGATTATTATCGTTTTATTATTATTATTATTATTATTATTATTATTATTACAATTAATGATAACGATAATGTCAGTAGTACTACTAATAATAATTTTTTTAGATTACACCGTATGGATTATGTAGTTATCATTTTTGGAGACCGGAAGACAAAATTTTCAAGCGACGAGTGAACAAATGTAGTTTTGATGGAATTCGCAATCATTCATTAATTGCTTCGGCAACTGTTCATAGCTATGAGCATATGATTGAATATATGTGAGTGAGTCTGGTCATTATTATTGTTGTTTATTATTATTATTATTATCATTATTATTATTATTATCATTATTATCATTATTATTATCATTATTATTATTATCATTATTATTATTATTAATGTTATTTGTTACTATTACAATTAAATTTTTATTTAGACAGAATGCGAAAATGAATGCCGATATAGCATACATTGAAGCAGATGAAAAACTCCATATCACCTCGGTACCACTCAAGAACGCTCTTGATATGAACATTCACACCAAGTAATCCGTCCCTTTCTTTGAGAGCCTTTATTGTATTCATTATTATTTGTTGCTTTATTATTACTTGTATAATTGAATTCGAATCACAGAACCACATTAACAATGGTGAATCGTACGAAGGTATATGTGGAACCTTTATGTGATATGGAAGAAACAGCGAGTGAATGTGCTGAAAGTCGATTAAGTCTAACGAAATTGGGTAAAAGTTGGCAAGTTGTAAAGCAAAACTTATGGATGGGACTGGTTAGAAGACAGTCAAAAGTATGTTTTGTGTTACGTCAATAAATCTTTATTGTTGTTACCCACATCACTCATATGCAATTTCAGTTGAAAAAGATAATGGAAAAATATCATAAAATTAAAGCGCAAAAGAGATTGGATGAAGTGTCAGAAAATTCCGATGGATCATTCATATTCAGCGAATTGGTTGATGCAGTTTCATTGGCGACAACGGAGCAACTGTTAGAGACGTTTGAGGATAAGAGGAATGATCCGTTTTTGTACGTTCGTTAAATGTTTATTTGCTTATTTTTGATTAACACCATCCATGGTCATTTTTAATGTATATGCATTTCATTGTGGAATATTTTATTATTTCTTAAAATTATTATTAGTATTATTATCAATATTGGTACTAGCATTAGTACTGATTACTGTTCGAAATTTGGACCAATGTTTCCCCGCGGAGGCATGAGTCATCACGACAAATCGCGGAGGAACTCAGCCCCGCAGAGGCCTCTGTTCTCACAAAATCTCTTGCACCAACCTTAAAAAGTAGCACTAATGCATCGTCATAACTCACAGATGGTTTATTTCTCATTTAAAAAAAGTTGCAGGTAAGTGTTATATGTAGTAATTCTCGAGCTCTGGAGCGGAGCCAGAATTTCTTTTGGGTATCTTCACAAAAAATATAGCAGCAGTAGTTAGTAGCCAAAGATGGGACTTGCATGATAAATTTTTCTGCAGCAGGAGGAAAGCGAAGCGAATTTTGGACCTGAAGACGGAGCTGCAGCCGGAAATTTGATGAATGGGGAAGTGCGGCTGGAGCTAGCGATAATGATACATTGATGTAGGTTATTCGGAAGGTCAGGAATGAGTGATAATAGTGCACGACTGAACTGAAAAGGGATCTCGTAAAACCATTCCGCTTGGATCTGATGATGAAATTATAGTTGTTAATGTCAAACATACCGCAACTCCGCATTTTGTCAAGTTTCGGTTCCAGCTCCAGCTCCAGAAATTCCTGTGCTCCGCTCCGATTCCGGGGCAGTGCGGATCCGGAAAAAACTATCGCACAAATCTTAGCTCCGGGTGTTGAATGTTGCTGTAATATTTTTTAGGGGAGCCAAAAGTAATTCTTTTGCCTCCGGAGCTTAGGCATCACTAATTAGTAGTGGTACTGGTATTGGTGTAAACATTGGAATTAGTATTAGTAGAATTTGTATTGGCATTATTAACAGTATTAGTATTAGTAGCAGTAATGGTATTCAAAATAGCAGAGATGGGCACGCTATCGACAAACGATAGTTCCGCTATCGCTGATCCGCTGCACTAAAAACTGTTTGTTCCGCTAAAAAATCCGCTATTGCCAAAACAGTTGCGAAAGGCTATCGCTGATCCGCTAATAAAGCAAAATTAGTCCGCTATTCGCTGTCTTTGTTGCCACTTTAGAATCTTCTCTCAAAATTTGCAGTTGCACCACTTATTTGTATGGGAAAAACCTCATTACGCCATTAAACAATTTTTATTGGATCGTTCAGCAACAGATAATCGTTCCAACAATAAGCACCAGTCAATGACAAAAACAAACTTCAACAATAACAAAATAACCAAACAATGACAACAAAATTCGGAGATGAAAAGCAGTCAATCAGCAACAGCTCAGATTACACTTTCTCATTCCCTTTAAGAACATCAACGTGTTGAGCATTTCGTCTGAAATTCTGGATCGTTTGGATCTTATCGTATCGCCTAACTCAATCCTTGAGATGAAAATCAGCGATCATCACACTTATACGTAGAAAAGATTGTGAAATGAATCCACGAAACTACCATCCCATCTTATTAACCTGCTCAAGTTGTGAAGTTTTAGAGAAAATGGCTGCAGTCAAACTGACAAACCATTTAACAATGAATGAGTTGTTTTCCCCTTTTCAATTTGCTTTTCTAGATAGGAGATCAATCTTTGCGGTTCCATTTTGATCATAGCAAAATTATGTATCTCATTTAAATTAGAAAGGCTACACCGACACTATATGACACTATATATTTCGGGTTTTAAAAAACGTTTGATTCGGTATCCATACCTAATTTAGACTTAAAATTACAAGCATACGGCATACGATGTCTGGCTAGTTGAATCCGAGACTTTCTAACTGACCGTTTCCAATCAGTCCAAATTACTGATTCGTCCAGTATGTCGGAATATATCAGCAGTGGTAAGAGCAATCCCAATAACCCCTCAACATCCAGTATCAAGAATCAGCTCCCTTCTCATTCATCCAAGACCAAGGCTTCATAAGCGACCGAAGTTTGAAACGTCGTCATCATGTTTCCAATAAAGTTAAGAATCTAACGTCAGGGCATCACTCACATTGAGAACGTTCAGCTTAATTACCTTATCCACTAAACATAACTAAGCAAAGAACGCAACCTAAATTCGCCCATCCTAGAATATACCTCTCCCTCTTGGTCTTTCCCTGTTCAATACGGTAACATACGCTACGTTAAGGTCGTTAAAAGTGTTCGAAGAAAATACACACTTTTCGTCTTGAAGAGGCAATGTGGGAACATATCCGAACACAGAGGAGGTTATCAATGACTTTTTTCCCTTCTTTCAACCTTCCTCCTCTACCCACCACCAGTCCGCTCAGTACTCGTCATATTGTAATCACTTACAGTCGCACTTATTATTATCCAAATAAATATCAGTTATGTCTTTTCAAAGCGAGAATAAAAGTGAAGAAAGCATCGTAGCACTGCCACCCAACTCATTTGAAGCCAAATAATTTATGAAGCTCAGACGGACTGCTAGTGGTGTAATTAGTTCAAGTATGACTGAATACTCAATTTCTAATCCTTTCGAAGAGTACGAATTTAGTGCAGCGCAAATTTGTATTTACGTACCTTAATGCTGGAAGAAATATGTATTCACTTGCAGACGAACGGATAGAGAAAGATGGAGGGAATAGTTCGCTGAAGCGCTATCGTTCGCGAAAAAATAGCTAGCTGAAGCGCTATAGAACGATAATAGCGGAAGCTATCGCTACGAAATGCCGCTATTTGAACACGATAGCGCGCTATCGCCCATCTCTGAAAAATAGTAGTAGTGTTAGTAATAGTATTCGCAGTGTTGAGCAATAGCGCGCTATTAGCGAATAGTGAAATAGCGATAGCGGTAACAGCGCTGTCGCTACTCGATAGCGGGATGCTTCCGCTGTCAGTTCGTCTGTAAGTGAATGTATAGTGCAGTGGTCCTCACGTTCGGATATTCCATCACCCCTTTTGATAATCTAGCAGACCGCCGTTACCCTCACCCCTCTGATACAAGAACACCATGATGGTTAGGTCTTCTCTTAGACCGTTGTGTTCCTCATTATTGCAATCGATTATGATTGCATGAAGTGTTATTGTCTATGAAGCGCTCACTTCAAACTGATTTAGATGAATTCTCATTCTTTTCAGACGTGTTGTATTCCCTCTCATAGATATTACATAATCGTTCTCTTGATGAGTTTTTCTCATTCACTTCGTCTCATTTCATTTTTCTTGATGAGTTTTTCTCATTCACTTCGTCTCATTTCACTTCGCAGTTCAAATTAGTTTCTTATTCTGTAGCATATACTATTTACTGGATACGTTGACGAGTGTTGACAGCAGGAATCAACAATCGAATATTATTGCTCAACAACGTTCAACAGTCAAATGATCAATTATAAAGTGTATTTGATAGAATGAGAATTTGACTTTAACTGTTGAGTGAAATGAATGAGAAATTAGTAAATGAGAATTTGACTTTAACTGTTGAATGAAATGAATGAGAAATTAGCAAAAGTGAACACTTTTGGAGATAAAAGCTATGGGAGCGATTGCAATAGCAAGAAAAAGAATGAAAACCCTGTTAAAACACCACTCAACAACAGATAGATGTGATTTCAATGAAAACCCTGTTAGGCTCGGACGAACTAATGATACCCAGGAAATAATATGGCGTTCTATCATAACATAAAACTGCACGAAATACTAATTTTCCGACCGTTTCCATTGCCCGTTGACACCTTCAAACTACCCAAAATGGGTAATTTCACCCCTTGTGAGGACCACTGGTATAGTCCCTCAATCACTGAGGTATCTAAATACATATTTGTGCTGCAGCACTGCACTAAATTCGAATCTACCGAGCTGTTGTGAGCGATTCGAAGAAAAAAAACGTCTGCAGTGGTCGGTTCAGATGTAGAGTTGGATTCTGTAGTGGTTGGTGGTTCGAATGTAAAGGTGGATTCTGTAGTAGTGGGTTCAGATGTTGTGGTTGGTTGTGTAGTTATTGGTTGAGATGTGCAGGTGGATTCTATTCTTATAATGTTCCTCATATTCATTTCAAAAATGCGTGTTCTTCAATGAAAATTTTCAAACATTCAGTGGCGTAATGAGGTTTTTAGAGCAGGCAATAACGATAGCGGAATAGCGGTAGCGCTCCGCTATCGATTCGAGGGGTAGCGATAGTGCTTCCAACACTGAGTATTAATATTAATATTAGAAACAGTAGAGGTATTAGTAGTAGTATTAGCATTAGTACTAATTATTGTTGCTTATCATGAAATGTTGCAGAGGTGTTTTTACGAATGCATTGGGATCTGCGGGAACTATGCGAACGCATCGTTTCGCACGTGATGTAGTTTTAGTGAGGAAACAGCAATTTGTAAGCAAATACTTGGAGAGTGTTGCACTTTCAACGAAACTGAATGATGAGGTCGTGGACGATATCAAGGTAGTTTGTGATGAAATTGTATATTGCTACGCACAAAGTGTGTCGTTTATTTCAACAACTCCATCCGTGGATTATGTGATTGTGATGTACGTATTTTGAAGCAATGGCTATTCACTGAACTGGCGAAACAAGAGCAGCCCATCGAACAGAATGAAACCAAGAAAGTGGCGAATCAAAATGAAGATGTTGACGAATCGAAAGAAGCACTTGATCATAATCGCAATTTCATAAGACAAATCGCATTTGCATATGCAACTTTATTGAATCGTTTTTGTAAGTCATCGAAGAGTCGTTTAAACGCATGCAACAACCACAAAGATAAGGTTCGTTGTTCTTTGTTTAAAGTCTGTTTTTGATATTAAAGTTATTCGTTTTTGATTTGATTTAATCAGCAATGCTTATGATATATCAGCTGATGCATTCATTTATTTAGATGTTATATTTCGTGAAAAGTGTTGTTTCTATTACTGTTCTTATTTGCTCTGTTTAGAATGTCAATGAATTTATCGTTGCGATAACGAAATGTGATCGCCGTGATGTGGATTGTAATCGTAGCGCGCTTCAAATATTGGTGAATTTACCAGTTGCGGGGTGAGTTGGTTGATTATTTGATTGCAGCTTTTTTATGATTTTAATGTTCCACGTTTTAGTGACTGATCCAGCGTGGTGTATTTTTATTCCACCGCATTTTATGTATTGATTTGTGCTCGTTTCTAGATATGGTTATGACTCTAATTACAATGACAATTTAATTTGCATTATTTATGATGGAGTACATTACGCAATTTCAGCGTTGTACCGTATGCAAGTCAGTTTATTTGTTCAAAAGACAACAGTGCTCAGTTGTTTTTGCAGAAGAACGCATTGAAGTTACTGGCATTCGTTGAGACGGAATTCATTGAAACGCCCGTTTGTGATTTTTGTACTCGTTCTTTCTTGTGCCTTTTATACTCGACAAATTTGTTGTTATTGTCATCATTGTAATTATTATCACTTCAGGTTATCAATAAATTACTGCGAATCTTCCGTAACGCGTGCCCACTAGCACAATCGACCACCGATCAGACATTGACAATTGATGTGCTGATGAATGCAGTGCCTGAGCATGCTTCAGTCGGAACATTTTTATTGAGAATGGAATCCACGCGGCAGGATAATAACGAGAAATGGGCTTATTTTTATGATTCAGTTGCGCAACGGAGATATGCCAATGAGAAGGTTACAGTTATATATTCTAGTGTGGTGCGACGAATTTCGGGGATTCGTCCCCGAAAATACCCAATTTTCCCCGTTCCAGACTTTTTCAGAGGCGGACATTTTCGAGGAACGACTCTTTTCCCTCTCCACACCTATTTTTTGAAATCATTGATGTTCATCACTTAATTATTTGAATGTATGAACTCGCTTCATTTTAAGGTTGATGATTACTGGAAACAATTGCGAAAATTCAAATTGTTCAGGAATCATTATTTACACAGAAGTTTGAAAGCAATGTCCAACGTTTACAACGTGAAAATTGCAGGTATTATTATTATTATTATTATTATTAATTATTCGATTAGCTGATTATTGCTGTAATAATTATTTAGTGCTGAAAAGCGTAGCAGTGATGCATTGAATGATTGATAATATAAAATACAGAAAGAATGGTAAAATTGATTAATACAAATATTGATGCTATCATCCACAACTAGCAATAAAACTAGTTATGATGGTGATGAGTTATTGAGGATTGGGTTAATTTGATGACCTTTTCTCAAATGTTTCTGTTTTCAGAAAGCAATAATCACATAATTGAATCCACATCAAAAACGGAATTCAACAATGAAATTTTCAAACGAAGTGATTTCTTGATAAGTGTACGGCGTCAAAATGGTCATCAAAACTCGCCAGTGCTCGCGGTGAGCGAGTAATCAAATTTCGTCCTTGTTTGAAACGATATTATCATCTGTTATTAATTCATTAACTGGTTTGTTTAGTTAACGGTTGATACGGCTGGTTTAGCGAACGTTGTTTCGGATTCGCAGTCGGAAGAGTCAGATATGGATGCTTATGAAGCACCTGAAGCAGTGGTACAATTAAGTCTGTTCGGTTCAAGTTTGCCACCCATAAAGATTTTCGATAGTTATACGGGTTTATTAAGCACGGTTTGGAATGCGGATGGTAGCATCATTAATGCGCATGAGGTTAGTTTTCTTGAGTTGTTCAAATGAAATAACTCATTATATTGTTGAAAACAGTGAATAATTTATAAGCTGTATAGGATAATGGTGGTAATGGAAGGCCTAGAGGAAACGAGCAAAACTGCTTTAATTGTCATTCTCACCTGATTATTATTATTATTATTATTATTATTATTATTATTATTATTATTATGTGATATTTACGAATGTAATTAGTGAAATGGATATTAGAAGATTGCTTGCATTTATTCATAATGTCGATACTGGTCGGAGCTTAAAGCTGACTGAATTGAAACACGTACTAATCGCAACAATATGTACCGTTTGAGAACGATTAATATGCAAAATACTGCATAAGCTGTTAAATTATTCAAGTTACGGGGTTGTTTACGTATTTAGAATATTATAAGAGAACAATCGTATCATTATTCACATACATATATTGATGTTTTGTTTTCTTACCCTTTAGTTAGAAAATTTATTCATGTTTTGCTCTTCTTTTATAGACGAACATAATTTGGCGTCAGTTCGTAAACGTGATACCGCTTTTCAATGGAATGACGTTAACAAACGATATGATCGGAGGCTTTTCGTTGAAAGTAAGTGGATCGTCAAAAACCAGCATTTTGAATCGTGATGCGCAGTCGACTATGATCAACGAGTGAGTGATGCTGTCTAAACAACTAGACATTCATAAGAACGGATATGATAACGGTTGCCATAACAATGCTTCACACTAGTAATGATAATTTTGAATAATAATTCTGCAGTGTGTCGGCAAGTTTGGATACAAAGTTGACATTGGTGAATGGGAATGGAGTTGTGGGTAACTTATGGCATCGTTTGAGTGCTTCTGGTTCAGTTGTATTGGATTTGGATGTTGATTTCTATGCAGAACCATATTTGTTCTGTGCGGTTGTTAGTCAGGGACCGCTCCAACTCAAGTATGCTTCCACTAAGTTTTATTATTGTTATTTTCATAAACACATCTCAGTATGAATAATAATAGCAAATTTTCAGAAAAACCATGTCGTACTACCAACGCATTGATAATGGAAAACCTAAACAAAATAAGTTTTCGCACACTGTCATTACACCACCACATTGTTATGCTCTCAACAGACGTTCAACAGAAATGTGCAATGAAATGTTCAAGCATAAGGAGTAGTATTTCGCTGATATTGATTATTATTAGTGTAATTGTTATGATTGTTATAAACAGTTTCATTTGATCATTTCGTTACTGTTTTCGTGGATGGTCAAATAACTTAATAAAGTGTTTAAACTGATTGAGAATTGTGTTGTTGCAATTGTTCATTTCAGTACAAGTGAGCGTACGTTTGATTGAATACGTTTTTATATATAGTTTTTCGGAAGGGAAATGATCGCAGTAAGAAGAAGGACTGAGACGAAGCAAATACGTTGAGAAGACATTATTTTGTTGACGATAATTATTTTTGTTGGTTGACATTATTATTGTTGTTTGTTGAAATTGCATATTACTGCGTATTTGTATCAGCGTCGGACCCTCTCCTCCCGAAATACTCGTTTGATTCACGTGAATGAGGTGATAGAATTTGAAAATTTAGTTTGTTTGCTGGTTACAGATTTTTCAGTTCAACTAACAGCAGTCATATTGTTGAACTTTTATTTATAAATCTGCATTGCTGATAGTATCAGCAATGCAGATGTTCAGTGTGCCTGATGCAGTGGAGATTTCGTTGAAATTCTCGTATTTTTCGGTTGTTATTTTCATTATTTTGAGATCATTTATGATTAGTATCATTATTCTAATCATCTTCATTTCCCTTCTTAATTTCATTGGTTTGCTTTTATTATCTGATATGGACAACTGTCAGAATCTTAAATTTTATGCATTAAATTTTTTGCATTACGTACGTCTCAATCGAAACCGTTGGGTGAACCGCTAGTCACCACTAAATTATTCCGTAACATGAATCTGTTGCGTACAAAGTATTATTCTCAAGCTTAATTTTTTGATGGGATTGTAAAGGATTGTGCCTCTGAAGACTGATACTTTATCTATTTATATAACTGTAAAAATTTTGTAATGAACTTTTGCTCGTACTCATAAATATTTTTTGCTCGAATTCATGCACTTGTAAAAGTATGTATGGAAGGAATACATTGGAGACAGATAGGAAAGGAGCATTAAGCTTTAAAATTCACTAGATTATAAATAGATATTGAAGTGTTCAAGTTGTCAATCTTCTTCCACAATCCAATCATTGAAATTTTGACATTTTTTTGGTTGGTACTTTCACAAAGTCGTGTCTATTTGATTTTCTTCTCGCAAACTTAAGCCTTAAACTAACTTGTTTCGTTACGTTTCAACATTTTAAAGGATCAAAAAACGTATTACTTATCCAATGCACTTATGATGTATGCATTATGCATTACACTCATGTTTAGTGAATATGGTATTTGCTTTTATATGTGGGATTAAGAGGACCCCGGGGATTTATAGATACCAAATGTTTGGAGGGGCTATGATCTATTCGACAGAGATCTGTTTAAATCGAAGAGGGGATGTAAATTTCGCGAAATTTTTCACGGCGAAGAAGGCTTCTGGGAGATAGGTTGGTAGTTTTTTTTTCCTCGTTTCATTATCTTCATTTTTGTCCTTTTTTGGTATTCTCAACATTGTTTGAAGATGCTGATAATGTGATTTTAAAAAAAGAGAAAATGGTTGTGTGAAATACATTCGAAAGAAATGCTTTACTGGATCGCTATGAAATAATTGTAGTCCATTTTGACAAGGTGTTCAGCTCGCAGTTGGAAGAGACTGCAAGAAAAGATGGAAGAAGTATTGCATCATTCCATTCTTCATACAATTTTTTCTTTCAATTTTTGTTTCTTTCATTTTTACCCTTTTCTTATTTTGTTCTATTTTCATTAAGACTTTTTGTAATAGAATTTTGCAGTGAACAAGAAAGTATCTCTTATTAGAAGAATTGTATTTATGAATGAAAGAAAAGGAAAGTATACGCGTATAACCGCAACCAACCAGCCAAACGCAGATATCTCAGTAGTAATGAGCGTTTTTCGAAGACTAAAATTGTTTGATTTGTTTGTATGCATCTTGTTTGTCTCGCGTTTCCACACTTTCATCGCTATCTTCTTCTCTTATTCTTTTAATCATAATATTCATGCGATGAAATATGACAAGAACAAAGCATGATACATTACGATAAGATTCTATGGATTAGTCAGCGAGAAATAAGAAAATGCCACGAAACTGCAGCCAACACTGACTGCTAATATTTTTTTGATTCAACATATCAAGCAAGCATTTACCCTTCGAGGTTCATATTACTACCATACCAACAACAAGTTTCCTTCATTCAGTTCTATTAGCAAGCAGACAGATGACGATTATTCAGTCAAATGTGAGTGAATATCACCCAGTTTGAGTCAGCTCAGCTCGTTCTATCACTAACTGACGATTGTTTACTGTCCCTTGCATAACCTGTCAAGTAAGTGGCTGCTCACGAATACAAAATTGAATGTAGACATCCATCCTGCCTGCCCGATTGCCAACCAGACTCACTGAGCGTGTAATATGATCCAACAACTAGGCTAGTTAGACTATGATCAGAAAGACGAAACGGAATGATGATGATGCCATCCTATGTAGCTGATACGGTTGCTGATGATAATATTGTTAGATCACGTAGCATTTGTACGGTGATACATTGAAAGTGATCAGTATTGGTAAGGAATGCATCATTGAGTTAGTTCTATTAATTCATACGCAGCAGTTTTTATTGCAGTCTCTTCTTATTGCAGCTTTGGTATTTTTATGATCAGTACAAAGATGTACGTTTGAAATAACAAGAGTAATACTAATTGCAGGAGTAGAACTAGAAATGTTGATGTATTTTTGAATACATATTGCAGTGTTTGTAAATATGAGTGATAGTTATTGTTCAGGGACGCTGAAAGTATTTATTTGTTTTTTCAAAGGGAAGAAAATAAATTGAAGGTGATTGCAACTGTTTGAAGTAGTGAATACTGGATGGATATTGTGCAATTTGAATATCTGAATAAATGTAGACGAATAGGCGAATGAAAAAGTGCGATAGTGATGTTCATTACTGATGAAAATAAAAAAGTGAGTGAAAAATGGTTGATTCTTACGAATTTGATCCTCTCGTTCTATCATTTCATGGTTTATTCCCCTCTTAATTGACCATAAAAAACGATGAAAAATTTCCACCCATAGCACCGATCGATCGAACGGTCGGTCGGTCCACACTATTGCTGGACTGCGACAGTGTGAAAAAAAGGCATCGTCTGATTGCTTTATGCTAAACGTGTTGTGTAATGTTTCATGCATCCGAAGTGCGTTTTCGCTCATTCTGTAACTGATTCGAGAAGATCCATCCAGTCGACATTATATTGATGATGTTCTCAGCTGGACTGATTCTGGTATTGCGTATCTGATATCATTAAGAGTCTAAATCCATTGTATTCCAATATTTATCCATTCATTTATCTATACCTCGTCCTTCATCTGTTACTGTATCTGATTCTATTACGCAATAACTGGATGTGACTAGTGAATGACTAGGCATTATTTCAATAATCCAGAGGTATACGTATAAGTATATGAATTTGTGTACGTATCTAACTATGCATACTTTCGTGTATGTATGCATGTGTGTGTTTGTACGTTTGCATGCATGTATTTATTTTTTAATGTCTGTTTCTATTTTTGATCTATGATATATCTTTTGTGCATGTTGGTAGTATGTCATAGGAACGGCAAAAAAAGTTGGGGACGAATAAAACAGGGACGAAATTTTGCAGTTGGAGACCCCGAAAACGGGATCGACACGAAAAAAGTCAGGGACGGGGATTCGAGGACAGAGCCCCCGAAAATTGCCAATCCCCGCAACAGATCACATGTTGGTGTGTATGTATGTATGTTTTTGTATGTGTACGTATGAATGTGTGTATGTTTGTGTGTACGTATGTATGCATGTAATGTAATATGTCGGATTTCATTTTGAAATGTACTCTTGTCGAGATTCAGTGTGATATAGTGTAATGCGATTTGTTGCATTGAGCATAAATCGAAGAAGTGGATTTAGCTCGATTCGAGTTGTTTGAATTTCATTCGCTACTCGCTTGTAGTCGTGTCTCGTGGGACTTTGTTTTTTGCACATGTTGATCAGCAGCTGGATTATGTTCATCGCTTTATCTCGTTTCGTGTGTGTGTTCTTAATCATCCACCTGAATGGATGATGATAATTTTATCAAATGTTGTCCGCATATATCAGTATTCCTCAAGGGGCAAGGGTCAATTACCGTCTAGGGAGTGATTTGGGAGTGCCAAGGGATAACTGAGGGTATAAATGGACTAGTTGATAAAATGTTTTTTCATTGCTTTTCGTTGTTAATTGCTGAGATCTATATTCCCTGCACAATTGCTAAATAGACTTCCAAAAATACTTGTTTCATTCTAATTTCTTTCAAGCCACCGAGGAATTTCCGCACCGGTTTTTGATTTGTTCCTCACGTTATGCGTAGAAATGATGAATTGTTGTAGTGGAACGAGGTAATGACATCTTATTTGACCATCGAAGGGGGATTATTGCGTGTGAGAAACACTGGTCTGTATAGACGTCGTATAAAATAAAATTTCTTTATCTATTTATTCCAACAAACCTCTCCATCTGGTTATTATTTTGTCTATAAATATTTAAGAAAACCAATAAGGACATCAGGAATTTATGCCCATAAATACAAACCTTGCACAGAATTAGAGAGTAGGTGGATACAATTATGAATAGTTTTAGGCAGGATACAATAGTCGTTTTTAATAGTCATATGATGTTTGTACAAAATATTGAGTATTCGCAAGAGAAATTTTCGCGAGCATTTCGAAATTGGCTTTATTCGTTGAATTTCTGGTTTCTTGTTTTCCCAACTTACTTCGTGCCTTTAAAATCAGTTATCAGCTAACGATAAGTGAGTGGAGATTGCCCATCTAAGCAAATGCGTTTAACAATCAGAATACATGAATGAATAAGTATCAATTTCAGCAGCAATAGTAACAGTTATAAATGAGTGATAGTAATCATTGTTCGAGTTCTTATGATTGTAAGTTGCGTTTTATCATTGACCGACGAAAGCGCTTTT